CATCAAGCCCTTGGCTGTCTCCACTTTTAATGTGCCAGGATCCCCCTTATAATATGGCATCCGGAATGAAGAACAGAACTCCAGAGTGCTGAGTGCAGAGGGCCTCAGATCTCTCTGGCCGGATATGCCCAGTACATGCGAAGCTCAAATGCAGACCAAACAGACGTTTATACCACATAATCACAAACATGTCCACTTATCTAAAGACAAACTTTGTGTATATTTTCTGTTGATTTGATCTTGTTAGTTTTAGCCTTTTTTTTCTGACAAGACTTCCTTACATGTACAATCATTTGTCTGTCTTCCTTTGATTGTGAATTCAAAAGTTGTTGAATAAAAACATGGCCACAAACAAATCCTTCCTACCTCCAGCTGGTTGTGTTTATAACAATTGTTTTAATCACCACCACATTGGTATATACTATGGCTTTAATATCGTTTGTTCCCTCCAAAACTCATGTGAGAGTTTAAGTCCCCATTGTGGGGTATTAAAAGGATGGAAACTTAATCTGACTATGGTGCTTAGAGATAGGACCTTTGAGAAGTTATTAGGATTAGATAATGTTATCAGGTGAAGCCCCACCATTTCATGCTGGGGAATTTATAAGAAGGGGAGACATATGCACATGTGCGCGCGCACACACACACACACACACACACACACACCACACTACTTGTGTCTGCTGTGTGAAGCTCTCCTCCATTGCTAGGCTCTGCCAGCAAGAAGTCCATCAACATTTATGTGTCCTCATACTTGAACCTCCAGAACTATGGGCCAAAGTAAACCTATTTTATTTATAACTTATCTAATCTGTGGAATTGTATTGAGTATAAACTCAATACAATTCCACAGATTAGATTGGACCATTACAGGATGTCACCTACCTCAATAGTGTTCAATGCACAATTCTGTCTTGTCTCAGGACTTTATGAGAAAGATGTTCTTAGTGATTTGTTGACCTGGAAAGATACTCTGTCTTTATTGTTTCCTTCATTTGGGTTGCAGTGATCTCCTCAATAAAGGGAACAGGATGAGTGTGGCCCCAAGTGTTTTCAGTTAACGTATACCAACTCTTGGAGATCATCACTTTCAAGTTTCGTTTTCCTAATTAATGCTATATTTAATTCTTTGGCCTACAACTTGCCAGAGATGGTCCACAAGCCTCTGGCTCTGTGATTTTTATTCCCCACTCTTATTTCCTTTTTGTAAATGAAGGAAAAAAATGTGTCTGCTGTCACCTGGCATATCTTCCTTTGGATACAGTATCAAAGTTCACTCATCAGGGTTCCAGAGGAACATCTGCATGCTTATTTTAATAGCATGGGTCTTTAGATCTGGATTTATTTAAAGCAACCAAGTATTGTCTTTCTAGATCTTTAGTTTTTTTGGCAACTATGTTGCTCTAACTCATGCAGTGGGCTTTTAACATGTACAAGACTGTGTCCTTTGTGCTGAGGACATAGTTGTACATATAGAATTTACAGTTAAAGGAGGGAAAAAGAGATGTATGTGAAGTCACCAATAAGTATCTGTAGAGGTGTTATGAGAGCCACAGGAGCAGCAGGCAAATCTGGGGCTGCTGGTGGTACAATACTATCAGGTTTGTATTTTAGAAAGATCATTCTGGCCATAATTGAAACTGGGCTTCTCAAACTGAAGTGTGCATAAGAGTCACTTGGGTATCTGGCTAAAAGACAAATTCTGACCCAGTGCATCTGGAGATGGTGCTGAGGTTCTGTTTCTAACTAGGCCCCTGGTGAGGATGGTGTTGCTAGTCCATGAACTACACACTGAACAATAAGGCTTCAGAGAGCAGAATTGAGAACAAGAAAATCAGAGGCAAGGAAGCTCCTTTGGAAGTGATCTAAAAGATAAATGTTGGTGGCACAAAGTACAAGCCACTTGATGCGCTTTCTGATCTCCGTAGGCTGATCTCCTGGTGGAAAATTTGTATACTAATAGGTGTTTCATATTTTCCTTTACGTAAACAATTGTACAAGCTAAACCTAGGGAAGACGGAGGGAGTGCTCCATTTCCGTCTCAGTTCTTTCTAAGTGGTCTACAACTTTAGCAGCTTGCTGTAAGCCCATGGACCTCTGCTGTTTCAGCTCATTCATAAAATAGGAGATTGGTTGTTAAGGTTGAATTGTCTCTACCAAGTCCCTGTGTTTAAATCTTAATCTCCACACCTAAATGATGACTTTCTTTGGAAATTGGGTTATTGCAGATGTAATGAATTAAGATGAGGTCCTACTGGAGTAAGGAGGGAATCTAATCCAATTGATGGGTGTCTTCATAAAGTAGAGAAATTTGAACTTAGGTGGAGTCAGGGCAAAAAACCCTAAAGCTTAGAGTTATGATGCTACAAGCCAGAGAACTATTAGAAGCAAGGAGAAAGGCCTGAGACAGAGAGATTCTTTCCTGGCACCTTCAGAGGGAGCACAGATCTACAGACACCTGAGCTTTGGACCTCAAACTTCTCAAACAGTGAAATAATACACTGCTGTTGTCCTAAGCTACCCAGTTTGCGATAGCTTGTTACAGCAACCTTAGCAAGCTCAAATGCTGGCTAAATCTTCAGGTCTGGTATATTATTCCATCTTTAACACGTATCCTACAAGAAATCTTAGTCACATTTGTAAAATTGGAAGATTTATTTTCTATCCATTATTAATTTGTGATTTTCTTTTAATTCAGATTATCCTTTTTGGTGGTTACTTGTGCTTCTTGTATAGACTTTGGCTAATGGGTTCAACTATTTCAACCCAAAGACCCTCAGGCTCTGGTTTGAGTGTAGACACTTTGAAGGGGAGGAACTCTAGGACATGCGTGACAGTCTAAAGGTAGGTTTCTCCTTACGTCAGCAACAAAAAACATTTCACAGTTGTTTATTTTTGAACCATACACAGTTACTTTAGCAAAGCACACTAAATAGTCCCATGTCATCCTGGTAATAGTATCAAGTTCATAGAAACATAAAGCACCTTCTACATAAAAATAATGCCATGTTTTAGAGTGTCATAGAAGAGATAAATATTATATTTCACAATTTATCTATTCCCTGGTTCCTGAAGTTTAAAAATAAAGGTGGAGTACCTTCTCATATGATCCAGTGAATTTTTCCCAGTTATAAAAGGACAAGGGTTCTTTCACCCTTTCATTTTAGAAACATATTATAATTGATGTACCTGGAAAAGTAGAATGTTTTTGAATAGAATGAGGCTAAACAAACAATCTCAGGAAACAAAGGAATCAGGAGAGTGGTCATGTCATTTTTCAGGTAGGAGCTCTAAGCCAGGTGTCTAATTCCCCTTACTTGACAGTTAGAGAGAATTAACCAGAGATCTTGAAATGATTGCTTACCTCATCATAGTGTCTTAGCTTCCTCATCTGCAAAACAGATAACCTGCCTGCTAGGCATAGAATATAAAAGCAATGGCAAGTATTTCATAGAAAAGGATTTGATTTTTCATTAATCATTTAAATTTCCATAGCAGGACATACATCAGTAATAATAGCAGAACCATTTTTTTAAAGCATGTGGACCATCATATGCACAGAAAAGGTGTTTGTATACTTTTTCTCACTTAACTCTCACAACAACCCTACTAAATAAGTGTTGTTTAATCTCTACAGATGTAGAATTGGAGATCAGGAATGTTAATCACTTTCCCAATATCAAAGGCCAGGAAGGAACAGAACTAGGACTTATTTATTTATTTATTTATTTATTTAGTGCCAGGGATTGAACCCAGGGTACTTAATCACTGAACCACATCCTCAGTCCTTTTTTATATTTTATTTAGAGACAGGGTCTTGCTAAGTTGCTGTGGACCTCACTAATTTGCTGAGGCTGACTTTGAACTCGCAATCCTCCTGCCTCAAATTCCCAAGATACTGTGATTACAGGCATGCACCACTGTGCCTGGCCAGAAATAGGATTTGAATTCACACCACTCAGTTCTGCAGGGATCTCCACTGCCTCAGTCATATGCTATCAAGCACATTTCTCTGTGCTGACAGACACTGATGACAGCACTCACTTTGGGATCTCTCTGGGCTGACAATACTGATGGTGCAGAGGCAAAACACAATGGAGTTCCAACAGCCTTTCTGAAGCCTGTTCTTTGTAACCATATTCCTGGTGACCTGCATTTAGAGAGTCTGATTTGGTTGGTTTTGAGTTGGACCCTGAAGTCAATTTTGAGGAGAGTCCAGTTTAGTAACCATTGCTCTCTGTACCTATGTTCAATGATGCCATACCTTTTTTTATTTATTCAGTCTGGGTTTCTGAAATTGAGGGAATTGCTAAGGAAACAATCCCAGGAGGAAAAGGCAAACTTCTTGACTAGCTGATATTTATGGAGTGTCCTCTATAAGAAAGGTAGGTCTAACACTTGCTTTTCTTCTGTGAACCATCAAAACTCTGCAAGGATGAGCCAGTTATACCCTTCTGTGCCAAATGTCTAGTGACTTTTTGAGATATAGGAAAGTTCTTGCTTGTGGCTGTGATGGGAAGGGAAGAAAGACATGTCACCTGTGCTCTATAAGGTGCTGCTTAGAAGAATATCCAATGCGAATAAGAGTAAGTGAAAACCTTACAACTTATGATTCATTATTAATCCCACTCCTTTAATTCACAACAAATTGACTAACAGCCCTCTTTTCCCTCCCTATCCCCAAATTACTACATGTGGTAGATTACAAACGTGATGAAAAGAAGCAGCAATACTCCATTAATATTTATAAATTTCATAATGCTCATATTTCCCATCTATTTGAAAAACCAACCCAAGTAATTAAGGAGTATGGGGAATTATAAAGATGAAAAATATCAGGAAAACAGTGCACATAGAAGTTATCAACACCGTTTTACCCCCACTGCTGCATCTTAATGACTTAATTTTCCATGGATGGCATTTTTAAAATGTAAATTTCTGGGTTAAAACATTTCATTGTCATCTAAGAAATAAAGATATTTTTAAAGCAGGAAACTTACATCTTTGGCTTGTCTGCAAGGTATCGAAAGTGTTTGCTTCCAATGATTTTCACAACGATATCAGGCATTGCATTTGACCTAGGGGGAGTCTTCCAAACTGAAGACATGATGCTTCCTCAAGTGCCTTCAAATCTCTAGAGGTAGAAAAATAAATAAATCATTCCTTTTGATTTTTCACTGAGCAACTTCAGAATCCTTTTTAATAACAAAAGCAACAACATCAACAATACTAGAACACACTGCTTTACCTAGGAAGGATTAAGAATGCTCTGGCATAGTGACAGCCTCAATCAGAGGCACTTGAAAAACAAGAGTTGAAAAAAAGAAAATAGAAAAAAGAGAAAGAAAAAGTCATTCTGACCTTAAAAACAGAAGATGAAATTCCCATGTGAAAGTTGCAACATCCTTATCCTCAAAGATGAGAAACTTGATACTGAAATAATTCTGCACAGACCCTGTTAAACTAATTCTTATCTTTTAAGTCTCTCCGCATAATTCGGTTGCTTCATCACAATATTTTATTCTTGTCAGATTCATACTATACTATCTGATTCTAACTGCTTTTTTGTGTCTTCATTTTTTTATGAGGGGTCCTATGCTACATAAAACTTGTATTAAATAACTTCATATGCTTTTTGTCTATTAATAGATTTAATTCTTAGGCACAGACAGGACCCTAAGAGAATGGAGGTGGAATTTTGCCACCCCCACACCTGTATTATCTCACTTAGCACAGTCAGAGGCACTGTATTATCTCACAGCCTCAGTCAAAGGCACTTAAAAACAAGAGTCGAAAAAAAGAAAAAAGGAAAAAAAGAGAAAGAAAAAGTCATTCTGACCTACCCAATGCTTCTTAAAAACTGAAGATGAAATTTCCATATGAATACAGGTATCCCACTCTTAATACAAGTATCAGATCCTCTTTATTACTATTCAAAGTCTTGCTTTACACTTGAGGGAATGGGTATACGTTGCTATGTGACTTACTGAGCATCACATATGCAGTAAGTAGCAAAGCTGGAACTCCCAACAGACGGTATTTTCTGTGAAGCAGACCTACTGAGTCATTAGATGACTCTGCCTTCCTGCACTATAAACCATCAGATGGGAGTCTTGTGAGGTCAAAGAAGAAACCAGACATAGAAAGCATCCCTATTCGACTGTGTTGCTACTTTCCCATTTGTAAAATCGCAATAATTCCACTTATGCTCTCAGGGACTTAGGGTGAATGCAATGAGACCCAGTGCCTGAAGGACCACTGTGCACAGGAAAGTGGACTTTGTTGTCACCATCCGTTTCCACAACAATGAACCTGACATTGAGATATTTTTGGAGATAAGCACTGGGTGTTTAAACAGGTGCTACACCAAGGGAAATGGTAGAAATTCTGTAAACTTAGCCTCCGGCTGACCATTCTCTTATGAAGCCTCTCAGAATCCAAGAGGCATGTAGAAATCATTGTACTCCAAATGCTCGCTTTAAGGATTGAGCAGCGAGCCCAGAGAGGGTTTGCGATCTTACCAAGGTCATATAGAGTAGGGACAAAGGTCTTTCCTATACTCTGGTCTGAGAGCAGACCAGGATCCTTCCTAAGACCCCAGTTCCACGTAGTGCGCGGAAAGCCCCACAATCTGTGAACCCCGCCATCCAGGACACCTGCGGCCTCTCTGAAGCTGTCTAGAAACTGCAATGCCCAGAGTTTGTGAATGTCAAGTCCCTTCCGCGCCCAGCAGTGGAACGTCAGCCAGGAGACCTTTTCCAGGAGAGAATGAAAGGGCAGTCTCACCCGACCTGGCGTTTCCCCACCCAGGTATCTCAGAGGTGCGCAGTCGGTCTTCTCCTAAGGAAGCCACAGAAGGAGACCCCGGGGGACCCGAACCGGGTGGGGATTGGAGCCCAGGGATCTGGCCAATCACAGCGCCTGGCTCGCTGGAGGAGGCTGCTCCCGCCCTGGTCGTCAAGGACGCAGAAAGCTGTCGCCGGGCGGAGACCCTATTCCCTGCACTGTAGGTGGCCGCGGGCCCTCCTCTGAGAAAGTGCTCAGGGGCGTGGCGCTGGCAGGTGAGGAGCCCAGGTGCACCACAACTGCATTCGCGCTTCTTCAAAGGTGTGTGTTTCTTAGAAGCCCATCTGGTTCACCTGTGGGTCACCCTTTTTTGCTCTTTCCCTTAGACTTCTTTGTCTGTTGTGAAATTTGCATAGTTGGAGTTCTTAAACTTTAGGTTCTTCTAATCCTTGCTTCTCTACTAAATTGCTTTAGGTAAATCTCTTCTTTTCCTTGAGGTTAAGTTTCCTCATTAGGAAAGCAAAGGAAACCAGTAACATGGACCTAAATGTGAAATTGGGGACAACAATAAATAATAATATAATGATAATAATATTGGGTACCATTCATACACTAGATCCCTTATTAGAGCTATATGACTATTATCTTATAAATTAACATTTATCAGTAAATTAATTTTATTCCTATTTTAAAGAGCAAAAAAAATGAGGCTTGGGTGTTGGGAAATTATCTAAGACACAAAGTGAAAAAGTCAAGATTTCAATGTAGATCTGCGTATCACAAATTTCTGTTCTTTTTCTTATGTTAAAAGACTTCATGGGCTGGGGTTGTGATTCAATGATAGAGCCCTTGCTTAGCATGTATGAGGCACTGGGTTCAGATCTCAGCATCACATATAAACGAATAAATAAAATAAAGGTCCATCAACAACTAAAAATAAAACATTTAAAAATTAAAACAAAGACTTCAGTAAAAGTGGATAAATATTCTTTAATTGATTCCAAAATGGTATTAGTATTTGCTTCAACTTCACCATCCAGGTCCTCTGCCTTCTGCCCTTTGTGCTGAATTTTGTTGAATTTTATCTCCTACTGGCACATGCAGTCAGAGATGGATGACACACTAAGCTCCCCTCCGGGGCTCACTCACTAGAAGCGGGGAGACACAGGCACAGTCTATGGTATACAAACTTCAATGGTAGCAGAGAGAGGGCAGCTCCCCTCTCATTCCTCCAGCCCAGCTTTTACACTGCTGCCAGATCAATCTTCTCAAGGCCCTGCTCTGACATGATGCCCATGGTTTCAAGGTCTTCCACAATCTGACCTAAAGCTAGATCTCTTACTTGATCTCTAACTATTTCTCCTAGGCTTACTATGCTGCACCCTACCTGGTCTACTCACTGATCTGAATCTGCCTTTCATTTCCCTGTCTGCTGCTTTTGTTCATCCAGTTCACTCTGTTCTCAATGCCTTTCCATTTCCTCATTGTTTCAGTTTGTTTTAACATTCCTTAAATTTCCTTTCAAATGATCAAGAGTATTCACTTGGGAACCAAATACCTTGAATTCAAATCCTAGCTCTGCTGGTTCAATGTGATCTTGGGAAAGTCACTTAACACCTTTATGCCTTAGTTTCCTATTCTGTACAACGAGGATGGTTTATTGTGGAGATTGAGTTATGTAAGCAAGACGCTTGAAACAATGCCTGACTCCAAATGAGGAATATCAATGTTTGCTGTTATCACTGTATATCAAGATGCAAACAATTCTAGAAGCTGAAAGTGATTTCTTTGTTCTATATATAATCTGTGGTTTCTCTCTTAGGAAATATGTTGTGCTTTGTCTGAGAGTGTGGCTATTTGTTTTATTTGATTGTTACACTTTCCTGATTATGTTTATGGAAAGCTGAATAAGGATCCCCCAAGATGTCTATTTTCTAACCTCGAGGACCTGTGACTATTTCCTTCTATGGTAAGAGGAAATTTACAAATGTGCTTAAGGTAAGGATCTTGAGATGGGGAGATTATCCTGGTTTATTTAGTTTGGCTTTTGGGGGGACTCAGAGAGAGATTATATTACATAAGAGGAATAAGAGATGGGGTGATGTAAGCAATAGGTCACAGGGTGTGATAAAGGGTTCATGAGCGTGGAATGCACATGCGCTTCAGAAGCTAGAAAAGGTAAGGGCACTGACTCCTCTAGAGACTCCAGAAGGAACCAGCCTGCTGACCTCTTGATTGTACCCAGTGAGATTGTTTGACACATCTGGCTTTCAAAACTGTAAGAGTTTGATCATAAACCACCAAGAGTATGTTAATTTATTATAACATCATAGGGAAAATTAATACAATGCTATTCATGCTATTCAATAACTCTTTTTCTTTTCATCTACGTGTTTTAAAATACCTGGAACATTTGTTTAGATTATAATAAGGGCTCTGCATTTTTTTATTGACTGAATAATGAAGGAGAAGAGAATAAATTAATAAAGTTTAGTAAAATTAAACTTCAAATTTTCTTTCTGAAAAAAGACCATAGTGAACATAGTACTCACAGTACCAAGCAGAACTTGGTCTACTTAGTACACTTGACCATTCTGCTTTTCTGTGATTACAGCCTTTTCTTTGGGAACCTCTTTTCTCATTCCAATAAATCCTAGAGGTGGCTGTCAGTGAAAGTGTGATTTTCATCCTGCTTCTTCATTTAACTGATCATACTCTAGGGGTTGAGGTCAAACAGAGTTCTTACCCATGATCTACATGCAGACAGTGAAGGAGAAAGAGGGTTTTGATCTTTTGGGGTTACCAGACTGTGAGGATAGGTGTTGGCAAATATTTGTGTCCACATATTCTGTCTATTTTTTTTCCACAGAGAAGAGGAAGAAATCAATCAACAGAGGAAAGCAGAACTGAAAAGGGAGCCAGTCGGCTGATGGAAAAGAAAGCAAAAAGCCTGGATTCTAGAACTCTCAGAAACAAAAGCAAGAAGAGCTTTTCCTTTTGCGTAAGATATTTTGAGAGATGCTTCACCCACCTTTCCCCAAAGGTCCTGAATAATACTCTTAAACCTCAGGTTGTTATAGTTCACATATGGAGTGTAGTTAGTTGCTGGGATGACAGTTTGAATTTCACTTTAAAAATCTGTGATGAAGTTTGGAGGAGTAGTGAATTGACTTTGATTAAACCAGTTATTTTAGTAAAGACTGTTCTTTGACATCATCTTGACTTCATAGGTTTTACAAATGCCAACTTAAAATAATGGAAGGATCTATCAGGAAATTCTTTTATCAATTGATGGTATTTAGATGAAATTTGATATATTTTTCCCATCCCAGGAAACCTCTGTTTTGCCACTTCCTAATCAAATGGCCTTGAACATGTAATTGAGTTCTTTTATCTATAATCTGAAAACTTACAATAATCACCCTGTAAGATTATTAGGATTACAGATGTTCTTGGAGGCCTTAGACAACTAAAAGGCTTATAATAAACTATGTTCTTATTTATGGAAATAGCTAACATTTAATGAATACTTATTATGTTCCAGATACTGTGCTAGAAATGTTATTCAACATCTCATTTAATCTTCAGAATGACTTTTTGAAATGATAATTATAAATATCCCCATTTTAGAGATGAGACACCTGGGGCTAAGAGAAGATAACTTGCTCAAGGGAATATGGATAGGAAGAGATCCACTATAATAAAAATCTAGGTAGGTCTGATTGCAGAAGTAGTCTTTATAGCTCCTCTCCAGAGTTCCTCTGTGGATGTTGATTAGCCATTGTTATTATAATTATTATTAATCCCTGTGTTTTTCTTGGTGTTGTTTCAAGGCTTGAGGTCTCTTACAAAATGCAGAGACTGTGACAGAATTCTTAAGCAGGAGTGGGCTTTTCTTATCTGGGATTTTCATTTCACACTGTGCTTTATGAAATGACATAACCAAGAAACATCTCTTTGGTGGTTTATATTAAACAAGGCAAAACAAAAAGCTATGCAATAAATGTCTCCATAAGATTAAATACTGTGGTTAAAACTGCCTTCCTTGGATTCAACAGCTTTAGATTACGAGTCACCAGAGAAAGATTCCACAGAAACATCTCCATCCAATAGAGTCAGTGCTCTCTCTCCCCTTCCCCCCAAAGGAAGATGAATAGCTGTAATAAGGGAACCAAAGAATGCCCCCTCCTAAAACTTCATGACTTTACACTTACCATCAAACAGCGTAAGGGAGGGGAGAAAAAATGGTCTCCAATGTTTTGGTTTTGCCCGTATAAGTCAAAGTAGAATGAGTTTATAAAGAGGAAGCAATAAAGAACTGCTCTTTTGAACAGTTTAATCATAGATCTATAAAAATGAGGCATTTTGCCGTGAAGTCCCTATCCAACTAGAGAAGAGACCTATACTGATGTTAAACTGAGTTGTGTCGCAAAGAACATGTGGGTAGTGCACTGTCTTTTTGTTGTTATTTTGTTTTGTTTTTCCACTAAAGGACATACAGGGCTCAAGCTAGTGATCTTTATAACTAAGTGGGGAACTTCAGGTAAAATATAGTATAGAATGCAATTATGGTCAAGTTTCTTTTCTCCTTAAAATGCTGTCAAGGCTTTTGAAAAATAAGCCTGTAGAACATACTGATGAGATGGACTGACTTTGGATTTTGCAGTAGACTTTTCTAGTTCTGCCAGATGGGTGGTTTAGATAACAGAATTTCATTGTCTTACAGTTCTAGGGGCTAAAAATCTGAGATCAAAGTGTTTGCAAGTTTGGTTGCTTCAGAGGATGTTGAGGGAAAATCTGTTCTGAGCCTCTTCCCTTACTTCTGATGGTTTTCTGGCAATATTTGTCATTACTTGGCTTAGAGATCTCTGTCTTCATGTTCACATGATGTCCCCCTTTGTACTTATCTGTGTCCAAATCTCCTCTCTTTACATAAGTGATATTGTATTAGAGGCCCACCCTACTCCAATAGGACCTTCAACCTATGAAGACCAAAGACCTCTTCAACATTTTTCCAAACATTTTATATTATTTTTTTTCCATTTTCTAGGAGTTTATCATTTTATTAATTTCTTCTATTTTATTTTATTGGTACGTTAATAGTCTCACATAGTAATGGAATTTGAACATGAT